GGGGGTCGAATGGGATGAGTATTGAGTATGAGGATGATGTAGTAGTTCGTTTTTGACGTAATTATAGGCTTAACAGGTGACGTATTTGGCGGTCTAGAATGTATGTAGATGAGCGTCAGGCTGTAGTATATATACAGCCTTCGGTGTAATTAATGCTTTGTCTAGGGATTACGTTTTGTGGTAATAATCGGTAGTTTGATGGTTATGTGAAGCGAATTTACAATAGAAATAGTTTCTATGTATTTGGATGATCATTTTAGCTACGAGTATTACTGTCATGTACCTACGTCCTACATGTTTTGGTGTACATAAACATACTGCAATAGAATACCCTATCGTTACAAGAATTATTTACTTATCGAGCTCAATAGCCCCCAATAGATAACTATTGGCAAAGCCAATTCTGACAGAAAAAAATTGACATCGTAATAAGTATACAAATGAGTAAAAGCTAGCTTCTGGTTCTATACTGAATCAAATTAATTGGCTAAATAAACCAAAGAGTATAAAATTAAACCATTTAGCATTTACAAGAAGACTTGAATTTATCTAATTTGATTATCAATAATAATGTAACAAATGCCTTTGCTAAAGCTGGGTAAACAGACGAAGTTGTCGGTGTTGACGACTCACCAGAGTCACTATGTTATGTAACTATTTTGTCTGATTAAATGCTTATATTATTATTATAACAATGTTACAATATCAAGCACGCGAGAGCCATGGTTCGACACGAAGGGACCGACTCGACCGGAGTGATATCACGGCCTCACAGAAACTCGTATTTCGTCGTGTGAGTTAGGTTACCGAAAGGCTCAACTCCCCTCGCCTATCCCAATCCCTGAATACCAACATTCTTCAAACTCCTAATCCCCAAAAGACCGGTAACGCACTTGTAACGCCTCTGGTGTTCCAGGTGTCCATGAGAGACGTCGATTGCATACCATCAGGTGAAACATTTGCTCGTTTAACCAAATCGAAATAACCAGTCCAAAAATATGAAACAATTTATTCGACCAATGCTTAAAATATTTAAGACCTCTACTCAACAAACAACTGTCGCAATTAATAGGCATTAGATATTTATTTAAATGCGTTGCTATAGAGGTTTTAACACAATAGGACCTATCTGGTGTCAGCCATTGTTGGTGAATCAAATTATAGACACAAGAAACTATTAGTCTTGAACAATTCATTATTAAGAATCCCTATTGTTCGTATTTAAACACTGATTTCGTGGAATAGTTCAGTACATTTGAGAATTATCTTCAAATTGGTGACATTTGATATTTCCTTCTGTTTCTGGCATTCTAATGGGAGTTTTGGGACGTGATTGTGTTGTTGAACCTCAGTTTTCATGAGTTTGATCAGGTATTTTTAGGATTTTAGTTCAAAAATTATACTGTGTGCTTCTCACGTAGCTTTCTGCCTCGCACAGCAAAACTGTGGAATAATTTGTCGTCGGCGGTATTTCCGAACCAATACGACCTACAAGAAAAGAGCGTATTCCTTTTTAACAGGCCGGCAAAGCACCTGTCATGGGAGGCGCTGATCGCTTACCATCAGGTGATCCGTCTGCTCGTTTCCCTCTTTTACCATAAAAACAAAAAAAAAACCTTATAGAGACGCTCACCGCAGCCTTCTAACACCGCTGGAACTCTTGTTAGCCAGGATCGACAGTAGATACAACCATGAAAACATCACGACAAAAGTCCACCGTTTGGATGTGTAGGTATGTCTTGGATCTTGCAATGAAAAAAATCAGAAGATTCACACTTATAGAAAAGTTGAATTCAAATAACTTAACCTCTTTCAATCTCTGAACAATTGAGTGACATTCCATGTAATAATGGGTGAGATCATTTTGGACTGCCTACTATTACTAAAAAGTCGAAAGACACCCAAAACCTCTAGCATGGCTTGAAACTAGTCGAGTTTCTCGTCAAATAATAACGTGAATAAGTCGAAAAACCTACCAATTAAGTATTAATTTTATTCTCCACATGGTTATTTTTTTGTTCTGTCTCTTTGACTGAATTTTGGTGTTACATGATTAAATCAACGAAACAATGTAACCAAAAATTTTATGGTGAACTTGATTGAAAAAGGGTAAATTATGGAGTTTCTTGCTTGTTCTCCATAGGAATCTACACTCTGGAAGGAGCAAATAGCTTCATTATTTATGTTATGAGTCCCATGTAATAGGGGGTGAGCCTATTGCCATATACCGGGCACAATTCCAGACTCCGTGCTACTACTGACATTTTTTTTAAAACCCAGTAATACTTTGCCCGACCCGGGAATCGAACCCGAGAACCCTTGCCGCCAGTCGCACTTGCCAACGAGGCAGTCTACTACTACTTTTTTAATAATATATTAATTTAATATTTGTTAGACGTTCAAATTTGGCTTAAAATACTTTCAATTTCACCCAACCAGTATCTATAAAATAGTCTAGTATCACTACAAATTTCTAAGTATAATTCAAATATAGTCCCACTCGGTACGTTCATATTATTCCTTCGACTAAACCTCTCCGAGGTGACCTCCCGATGTCGGAGGAACACGTCGGTAATAAAATTTAACTCGTGTTTCTGAGAACGATGGCAATTCACTTTTCATGATGACTAACAGTCCCAGGGCGTAGGTTCTTATATTTTTTGCTTAAGTAAATAAATGTGAAGTGGGGTATTTGTTTTGTTTGTGGGATTTTGAGACTTTTAAAGGGAAAGTCAAGGTTCCTTTGATATGTAATGTAGGTTTTAATGGTTTTTATCAATTTTTTTATTATTTTAAATTTTTTTTTTAAATTTAGCTCTGTACTTGGCTACATCCAGCATCATCATATAATGGATGATAGGTTGATGAGCCAACCCGTCCTCGTCTACTATTGTACATAGTTATTTTTTAAACATTCCCCACATTAGGATTTTCACCTGTACACATGACACCAAGACCCCAAACGACAATGTGCGGATTACACAAAGAGTTGCTACATGCGAGAATCAAACCCGCTACACGTTGTGCAGCAGCCGATTCCCCAACCATGCAATTGTGTACTTGCGAAGTAGTCAAATTCAATACTATTTTTGAACTGTCAAAAACGACAGTTTTCTATGAATTTTGTATGACATTCTAAATTGTGACGTCACGTATTGTTAGCGTCAAACAGCATACTTATTTCTTAAAAATTTCCTGATAAAATACTAAAATCAAGTTGGTCATGAAATAAATTAATGAAAGTGTGATTATTTTCTAATATTTTATTGTATTGAACAGTCGAAATAATGTATATTTGATTAAGGAAAGAATAATTTACCTATGTTTGTTGAGAAGTGGGCACTAGATTTGAAAACATGCACCTCAGTCCTGGACAGAACAAAAATATAACATCAAAAGTATCCACAACACACACACACACACACACACAAAATAAAACACAGTTCAATGAAGCACAAAGATAACAAGGTCACTTTGTACGGATTGTTTTATTTCATAATAATTAATCTTTTACGTTTCCTCTCGACTCCATTTATATCGGATGCGTGGCTGACACGAAAGAGCTCTCAGCACTCGAGACAAGTAATGGATTCAATTCTTTTTGTTTTTTCTTTTTCTTTGTTATATAATACAGGGGCATATAAATTGAAAAATGTTGTCTTTTGACGTATATTTTGGTGTTGGTAGTGGTGAATAGGGTTATGGCGGGTTGGAGATTGGGGCTTAAAAGGTTTGTGTTTATCAGAGATCACTTGTGTCTGGTCTCTGTCATCACATAACATCACGCTTTTTATCCCCGAAGGGGTAGGCAGAGGTGCACATTATGCCACTGTACAATGTAACACCCACTTTTCACTATTTATGTTATGAGTCCCATGTAATAGGGGGTGAGCCTATTGCCATATACCGGGCACAATGCCAGACTCCGTGCTACTACTGAGAATTTTTTAAAAACCCAGTAATACTTTGCCCGACCCGGGAATCGAACCCGAGACCCCTTGCCCGGCAGTCGCACTTGCGACCACTCGGCCAACGAGGCAGTGTCTGGTCTCTGTCAAATGTGTAATTTCTTAGTCTAAGCTCAAGAGTAGGAGTGGCGATTAATATATGTTTACTCTTATGTCATCACGTACCTTGTTTATGATTATGATATAATTCTTTTATAAACTACGTTTAATAAAACCGACTTCAATCTCCTCTTTTTTTGAAGTCAATTAATTGATATACCTACTAAAACCTTTTCCTAAATGTAACAAATACTATTTTGAAAACTGCATCAAAATCGGTTCGGTCAATCGCGATATTATCGCGCACAAACATACATACATACTCTCTCTCCTTCTCTCTTCTCTCTCTCCTTTCCCACCTTTCTCTTTCAAAAGTACTAGGGTCTTATGACCCTATAATAGAATGCTATGTTTAAGTAATAACTCAAAATTTATTTGTGTTGGTATTTGAGAACGCAACCTTTATTTTATTCTGTTGGTTTGCCAACAATTGAGGGTAGACGACTAATTTTTATTTTAATGTCCGTCTGGTAGATTATTTAAAAACATTAGACACGTATTTTTTCTTTTCTCACAGAAACGAATAGTTTCGAAGATATATTGATTTGAAATGTCGCGTGACGTCACTTCTCAGTACATTTTATACTAAGAAATGACGTCTTAGCCCCCACTCCTAAACTTTGATTCGTTTTATCTAAGTATTGTTTTATTATACGACAAAATAAAAAAATACGTGTCTAATATTTTTTCATTACCTAACTTACGGACTAATTATATTTTTAATTTTCATACCCTGTCATCATCCCCATTGATAGGTTGGCGACATTTTTTTTTTATTCTCTGCTCCCGCGTTTTTTTCTCTTTTTGACAAGTTGTATGTAACAGTCTTGCTCAATAAAACTATATTTTTCTATATTCTAAACAGTTTATTTTAATAATCCACCTCTTAAAATTACTAATTTGTTTGTTTCAGGTGTGGATCCCACGACAGCAATGTCGGTGGAGGGCCAACGATGCCTGTGTGTTGTAGTGCTACTCATACACACGGTCACAGGCGCCGGAGAAGGTAACTTATATGTCATTCATACAATTCGTAATTTTTGAAATAATTTTTGAACCATGATTGTGTATTATCTTCTCTATATTATACTATTGTATAAAGTCGCGGAGAACCTAACGGGTAACCGGGGCTCCGGCTCGACGTGCAGAAGAAGGAACGGGGTGGTTTTTAGTCAGTAAGAGTCTGACACTCCCTTCCGCCTCACCCAGGCGGGAGCAGTCATTCGATGATTTTCCCCCCTTAAAAAAAATACTATTGTATTCAGCGGAAGAGTTTTGTTTGTTTGTTTGAACGCGCTAATCTCCGTAACTACAAGTCTGATTTGAATAATTCTTTTTGCGTTGGATAGCGCATTTATTGAGGATGGCTTTATGCTATAATATATCACGCTACGACCAATAGGAGCTGAGCAGAGCGTGTGAAGCTGCGCGGAAGTTGCTAGTTTGATATAAATTAGGTTTGCTATAATTTGAATTCACATAATATTTATAATGAGGATAATATTATACCTACGAACATGGTTAAAATGAGGAATTGTTTTAAAAGCATTTCGTGCTATATGTATTTTAGGTATACATTTTATTATTCTAATGAATTAGAGACCCATGATAATTACGCTTATACGTATTCTCATATATTTCGAAAAACCCTAAATGAGAGTAATAAAGAATTTCGGAAAAGGTTTTTATTTTTGCGTTAAACAATATTTTTATACAATACAAACAAACAAGGTTGTGCGACCTCAAAGCTCAGATACATACATATATCAAAACATAGAGCGAAAGCAGTAAATAGTCAGCCATTCTGCCTCTCAATTCAAATAGTACCAAGCCAGGAACAAAGCTAGTTTACAAAGGTCTAATAAATAAAAAAAAACAATTACATTAACTAAATAATTGAAGTAAAGTATCATTGTTTTATTAAGATTGGAGGAGGCTTTTGGCGACTGGCAGATCTTGAAATGGTAACCAAGGAACAGATATTAGGTTCTTTTCAGTTTAAAAATCAGGACTTGAATGACCACTATGCGCTGTAGTTTTTCAGCAAAAAAAATAACATAACAACATATTAAAGAGTGGAATTCTTTGCCAGAGTCTGTATTTCCTGAAGGGTATAACCTGGGAGTCTTCAAGGCCCGAGTGAATAGGTTGCTTATGGGACGACGTGCTCCAACGTAGACCGCATCATCGCTTACCAACAGGTGAGATAGTGGTCAAACGTCGCCCCATCAATTATAAAAAAAAAAAAAAAAAAAAAAAAAAAACATCACGCCTTTTTCCCCGAAGGGGTAGGCAGAGGTGCACATTATACTACTGTACAATGTAACACCCACTTTTCACTATTAATGTTATGAGTCCCTTGTAATAGGGGGTGAGCCTATTGCCATATACCGGGCACAATTCCAGTCTCCGTGCTACTACTGAGAATATTTAAAAACCCAGTAATACTTTGCCCGACCCGGGAATCGCACCCGAGACCCCTTGTCTGGCAGTCGCGCTTACGACCACTCGGCCAACGAGGCAGTAAACATTTAAGATCTGAATAATAAGCAAAATGATTAATTATCATTGTTTTAATAAGAAGCCAACAAAAAAGAACTAATAAAATACAGTTACAATTGTACGTATACTTTTTTATACAAAAACCTCTTTTGTGGCAAAAGAAAAATCCAATAATTAGCTTCTAGTCCTAAGAGGTAACGCATTATCTCGAGTAACGTGCTAAAGTCAACTTTATATCTTTAGGTGTACGGCTGAGAATGAAGCTATCAATTTGCCAATTATAGAGGGATTCCTTAAGGACCTAAGTGTGTAATAAAGACCTGGATAAAGTTGGATTCCAATATATTTGGTACTGAATTCTACCTACAAAGAGAAACAAAAGTATCTCAGAATCCGTATAATGAACTGATCTAATACTAAAGGGATACAACTCGCTGGTCGAGTAAAAAAATATCTATGACTGAATATCATGAGGTTTCTAGTCCGTCAATTTTTAAAAAAAATGTTCTCATAGAATTTCAAACTTTTTTTAAAGTATTTTTTAAACTTGTGGCCATGATCCGCAATGCCTTTATTTGGAGGGGAGGAATTCATCAGACTGCCTCGTTGGCCGAGTGGTCGAGAGTGCAACTGGCGGGCAACAAGTTTCGGGTTCGAATCCCGGGTCCGGAAAAGTATGATTGTATTTTTTTAATTCTCAGTAGTAGCACGGAGTCTGAAATTGTGACCGGTATATAATAATAGGCTCACCCCCTATTACATGGGACTCATAACATAAATAGTGAAAAGTGAATGTGGACTCATAATATAAAGTGGGTGTAATTATGTAGAAAGTCAAACTCAAAGTCAAAGTCAAAGCATTTATTTCAATTAAACTGTCAAACACCAAGCGGTCACCGGTGACCGCGACCTATTATTCTTTAATTGTGTCTATAAAACCGGTACTCGACGAGTTAAAGCATAATTTGGTACTTTAAAACGTCAACAAATACAAAATGTAGACTGTCAGTCAGTCTTTCAGTGAAGCTAAGTGAAGCTAGGTGCTCATTCTAAAATCTAGATTCGAATGGAGAAGAACGAGCAAGAAACTCCATTCGTTACTCTTTTAAAAAAGATATGTTCTACAATGTCTCTAATACATATTCCATATTCAACAAATGACTATTCTTGCCTTTGCTCAGGCGAGAGGGAATGTAAGGCTCTTGCTATTAAAAACTATACCGTTCCTACTCTTGCTTCGAGTCTACAATGTAACTAACGACTTAACAGACAAAGCATGTAAATAAAATAAAAGTACCAAATAAATACAGTTTACGAAATAATAGGGCTCTATGATAGTAGCTACAACTTTCATAAAGCAAAAATTTCGTTCATAAAAAGCAATATTTGCTCCATAAAAACTAACTGTTCATATTCAACGCCACTTAAATTGAATACGCTGAAATATTTAAATTTAAAAAACAAAAAGTAAAAATTTTGTCTAAAACTCGACTATATGGAGTGAATAATATTCCAGCAACTCTATTTAAAACCTAAACTTTATACGAAAAGGCTGAACTATCTGGCTACATAGAAAAAAAAAGAAAATAAAAAAATATACAAGCCACACAAAAGTCCGCAAAACGAAAGTTAGTAGTTAGTGTACCGACAACAAAAAAAGTAACTGAATAAATAACGCCTCTGAGGTTTAAACGGCGAGCTAAATGTTTTTGCTGACTGTGAGTGATACTTTAATTTGGTGTGAATAAATCATTTTTGTTTATTTATGTGTGTGTTGATTGGTTGATTTGTGAATTTGTGATTGGTTGTAATTGTTTTGAGTTGGTTTTATGACCTTTAAACGAGCAATGCTTGTATTATATAATATACCAACTATATCAGAAACGAATACGTCGATTTTCTAGTAATTTTAGGGGGTTTCGGGAACGATAAATCGATCTATCTAGGTTTCACTTTTAGAAATATTTGTCCTATTTTTTTTCGCCTTTTCCCCGAAGGGGTAGGCAGAGGTGTACATTATACCACTGTACAATGTATTACCCACTTTTCACTATTTATGTTATGACTCCCATGTAATAGGGGGTGAGCCTATTGCCATATACCGGGCACAATTCCAGACTCCGTGCTACTACTGAGATTTTTTTTAAATCCAGTAATACTATGCCCGACACGGGAATCGAGCCCGAGACCCCTTGCCCGGCAGTCGCACTTGCGACCACTCGGCCAACGAGGCAGTTAAAATAATCACTTAACAATATACTCACATTTTTAACAATCTATGTTTATGAAAAAAAATATTTAAAAGATAAAGATAAACATTTCTAGACAGATCAAAAATCACCCTTTAAACCAAACCTCAATTATACAACACCCTTTAAATCAAAGAGCGCTAGCCAAGCGATATTGTTTTCTAAAACAAAACATTTTAAGATATATATTACAATGAGATTGGGAACAAAGGACCAGAAACCAGGCCTAACCTATCATGATTAAACTGTGAGCCTACTCTCCGAGGGAGGAGTTAGGGGATCAAAATTAATGTGGATTTTGCACTGAATACCGGACACCATACAAATAAATATAGAAGGTTCAGTATATCGGTAGTACATTTTTTATGCTCGCTGTAACGTTGCTTGATTAAGTACCTATTAAATATTGAGATAGAAGTTTTTAAATGTCATTTCACATCCCTAAAGAGCTCACTGCTAGATCGCAGTTATAGCTCCCCTTTACTAGAGGGTTTTCTATTATCTTCATGCCTGACTTATGGTTTAGACATCGCAGTTTATAGATTTCTTTTAAGGGGGCAAAATCATCGAATGACTTCTCCCGCCTAGGTGAGGAGGGAGAGAGTGTCAGAAACTTACTGACTAAAAACCACCCTGTTCCTACTCCTGCACTTCGAGCCGTAGCTTCGGCGACCCGTCAAGTCCTCCGTGACTCCGTATTGGGCCACATCCGTGGTGGTCTGATGGCTATTCGAGGCGCGCGTGGAACGCGACCCGCCGTACGTTCGGGCAGTTTACAATAATGTTTACCGAAGAACGCTGCATTATATTTAACAGAACCGGGCAGCAGCGGTATCTATGAGTACAAGAGTATATGGGACTAAATAATATGTATTTAAAAGACCCATATTCTTACGACATAGCTGACGGGTCTCAAAAGAAGAGTAATATTGTCAAAAATATCGTCTCTGTTTTCTCTACCGTTACAACCATACCCAGATAACAACATTCCCTCGAAGGGGTAGGCAGAGGTGCACATTACGGCACTTAATGCCACTGTACGATGTAACACACACTTTTCACTATTTATATTATGAGTCCCATGTAAACAGAGGTGAGCCTATTGCCATATACCTACCGGGCACAATCCCAGATTCCATGCTACTAGTGAGATTTAAAAAAACCCAGTATTACTTTGCCCAACCCGGGAACCCTAGACCCCTTGCGTGGCAGTCACACTTGCGACCACTCGGCCAACGGCACACCCAAATAACAT